ACCACTCCCTTCTTCTTATCCCTCTTAAAGTTCTCCACACTCATTAGCAATTAAAATTTGATCAGTAATTTGTCTTCCACTCACAAAGGCTTCTTGATAGTGTGCAATGATATCTGGCAGTACCTTCTTCAGCCTCAAAGACAACACTTTTGCAATGATCTTGTACAAGTTATTAACCAAGCTAATTGGCCTAAAATCCTTCAGGTGGGAAGCATCTTTCTTTTTTGGAATTAAGGCTATAAATGTAGAGTTCACACCCGGATTGACAATTCCTCTCATGAAAAACTCCTCAAACATCTGCAAAAGATCATCTTTCAAAATATCCCAACAGTCCTGATAAAAAGCCATTGTGAACCCATCCGGCCCTGGGGCTTTTGTTCTATCCATAGAAAATACAACCTCATTGATCTCTTCTAAACTAAAGCTTCTCTCCAACCTTCTCCTATTCTCCACCCCTACATCTGGCCAATCCAATCCTTCAACCCACACCCTTCTACACACATGCCTTCTTAGAATAGATTTGAAGTGCTCCACACAAGCCCTGGCAATCTCCTCTTGATGTACTAGCTCAACTCCATCTACTACCAATTTGGAGATCAGGTTCTTCCTTCTCCTGCCATCAGCTAGAGAGTGGAAAAACCTAGTGTTTCTGTCCCCCTCTTGCACCCATTTACACCGAGATTTTTGCCTCCAACTAAGTTCCTCCTTGTGCAGGCAGTCCTCTAATTGTCTTCTTAAATCTCTCATGAGCTCATTGTCTTCCTCTCCAAGTTCTCCCCTTTCTTCTTTAGAGTCAAGGCTTTCAATCTTATCCAACAGATCTCCTTTTCTTTTTTCTATCCTCCCAAATTCCACTCCTTGATTTTTGCTTTCAAAAATTGAAGTTTCTTATGGAATTTCATTCCCTCCCATTCCACCAATGGGTTACACTCGTACCACCACTCCCTCACTTTGTTAGTAAACCCTAGGTGGAGTAACCACATATTTTCAAATCTAAAGGGGGTAGGACCTCCACGCCTTCTTTCCTCCTTACATGACACCATGGGCCAATGATCGGAGGTCACCCTTGGAAGAGCTCTAGAAGCCAAGGTTCCCCAATGATCTTCCCAATCCAAAGAGACAGGAATCTATCCAGTTTAGAGCAAATGGGTCTAGATTGGAGATTTGACCAAGTAAATGTCTTATGGGCTAGGGGGATCTCTTTAAGCTCAAAGCCATCCACAAAGCTATTAAACTTCCTCATGCTTTTTGTCACCCTCTGGTTAACCTTATTGGATTCCTCCGAGAATCTAATCACAT